GCGGCCCCGCTCGGTGCGTCCCGGCTGCCCGCTTTTGTGCGCGGGTCAGGGCGATGGCAGTGGCCGGGCAGGAGGACTACGCGTACCTCTACGAGGATTCCTCTCACCCCGCCGATTTCCTGGAGGCGTTCCGGGCATTTTACCTGGACGGGCTGTTCACCGACATCACCCTGCAGTGTGCTTCGGGGGTCATCTTCCACTGCCACAGAGCCGCTTTAGCGGCTTTCAGCAATTATTTTAAAGCCATGTTTACAGCTGATATGAAAGAGAAATCTAAAAACCAGATCAGACTTCCTGGGCTCAGCCATGCCGTACTGGAAGCCCTCGTGAATTATGCATACACATCACAGATCCAGATAACAAAGAGAAATGTCCAAAGCCTACTCCAGGCTGCAGACCTCCTCCAGTTCATGTCAGTAAAGAAAGCCTGTGAGCAGTTTCTGGTGAGGCACTTAGATACTGACAACTGCATAGGGATGCACTCCTTTGCCGAATATCATGATTGCTCGGAGCTAGAAAAAGAGTCCAGGAGGATATTGTTATGGCAGTTTGAAGAAGTGTGCAAACAGGAAGAGTTTCTGGACATTGGCAAGGAGAAGCTCTCTTACATTCTCTCCAGAGAGAATCTCAATGTTTGGAAAGAAGAGGCAGCTGTTGAAGCTGTCGTTAAGTGGGTTGCACACAACGTGGAAGAAAGAATTGAAGATATCTATGAACTGCTGAGCGGCATCAAAGTAGACTTAGATAACATGTATTTGAGGTCAGCTTTAAGCCTACAAAAAAAATGCCAACTTAATGACAATAAGATAAGGTCACTCATATACAATGCCCTGAACCCCAATCCCAAAGGTCTTTCCAGAAGACCCACTGCAGCCATGTATGTGATTGGAGGATATTATTGGCATCCCTTATCAGAAGTGCATGTTTGGGATCCTTTAACTAACACGTGGGTCCAGGGAACAGAGATGCCAGATCACACCAGAGAGAGCTATGGGGTCACTAGCTTGGGACCAGACATATATGTGACAGGAGGTTACAGAACAGAGAGCATTGAAGCCCTTGACACTGTATGGATATATAACAGCGAGAGAGATGAATGGACAGAAGGCTGCCCCATGCTTGATGCAAGGTATTACCACTGTGCAGTTTCCGTTAGCGGCTGCATCTACGTGTTGGGTGGTTACCGAAAGGGAGCTCCGGTGCAAGAAGCTGAGTTCTATGATCCTTTAAAAAAGAAATGGTTTCCTATTGCAAACATGCTCAAAGGTAAGTAAGCTTTTGTATGGCGCCTGCCTCAAATGTTGATCCTTTTGCCTTTGCCACTTAAGTGCTGTAGACGTGTTTAGGGTCTGATCCAGGTTCTAGGGAAGTCCATGGGAATCTCCTGTTAATGTTGGTGGGCTTTGGTTCAGGTCTTGACCAGCCAAATGACTGCAAACACCCAAACGCTATGCTGGACTGTGCCACAGAACGCTGGGGTGGAAAAGCAAGTGGTAGTTTCAGTTTAATTTTGCCTTCTTTCAGGAGTAAAATTTCTGTTCAAATTAGAAAGAAACCAGAAAACTACCTGGGATTAGAGTCCATTCAGTAGAAGGTAAAAGAGCAAGCTCCAATAAAGGGTTTATATTATTTTAATATAAGACCAGATTACTAAAATTGCACAGAAAATCATTTATAAAAGTGTCATCTTCATTTAAAACTTCTTGCATACACTTTCCTCCTATTTTAGTGTGTCATCTGTTCAGGATCCTTAGTTTAATCTTTAGTGTGAGGATAATGAAAAGCACTGATACCTGTTTCTAGCAACCAAAATAGTGATTTATTAAAAACGTCTGAATTTGAATCACACCCTAGCTAAAGGGCATTATTTTGTTACAAAATTTATAAACAATTATACATTTTATAATACATTTTTATAAATTAACCCAATTATTTACAAGTATGATATTTTACTGTGAGTTGATGCAACCTAATATTTTTCTACATACCTGAGAGTTTTTGGAGGTATCTGTAACAGGAAAAAACACTTATGTTCCTACAACTTACTTTGTTGTTTGTCTGTATTCCACAAACATTGCTGTTCTTCTCTTTTTATTTCTTTTAAAATAGAAATACTACACTAATATTGTGAGCAGTTACACATTCTGTGCAGTTGTTTTGTCCCGTTTTGTGTGTGAAACTTCTGATATGCTTAAAAAACCCCACACTAATTTCCTAATTTTGATCCATTTTATCTTGCCAGATCCCTTGTTTTATTTTGTTTTGTTCTCCTGGAGACAGAGTTAACACAGCTCCATTCTGCTTGTGTCCTTGTTTATACAATAGCATCATTAATAATACTGTGAGAAAGACTAAAAGTAACAGCAAAGATACCCCAAGACACTGAATGATCTCAACTCCCATTGTCTTTGTCCCTGCCATATGAGTGACTTTTTAAAATCTCTTTAACTTAGTGAAGTTTTGAAAGTAATTCCCTATTCCAAAACCAGTGTGACAATGTGTCTTTAATTACTACATAAAAGTTCTGTGAAATATTGTGTGGCTGTATTATATGCAATGTGTATCACTTACTGCAGTTTTATGTAATTGCTCTTGACTTATGCTGATAAAATAAGGTATCTTGACAAGTTTGTTTAATTTCAAATTCAGTTAAATACTTGCAAGCATAATTCTACCCCAGAATATTAATTAACAAGCCATTTGAAATGGGATTATGAATGGAAGTGACCGTGGTTATTATGTGCAGTCTGAAGGTGTGTTGTGACTTTCACACTGTGTACAGGTGTTGGAAATGCCACCGCCTGTGTCCTGCATGAAGTCATCTACGTAACTGGAGGTCACTATGGGTACAGGGGAAGCTGCACCTATGATAAAATCCAGAGATACCATTCAGGTAGCAATGAGTGGAGTATAGTCGCCACAAGTCCGCATCCAGGTAAACAATAATTTCTGTAACGAGCACAGAGCTTGATTTGATTACTTGTATCTGAGAGTCTTTAAGCCCTCTTAAGCATTTGTGGCATGTTCCTAATAAAAGGAGCAATGCCTTTAGGGCAGCAAGGGCCAGAGTGGGATCATCTCCCATTTCCAGACTCTGAGAGGGGAAGGGAAGACCCTCTTCAAGCATCTGCTCTGTCTATACCAGTCACTGTATAAATACTGAACTAAGGAATGGCTGCATTCTATTGAATAATATAGTAAACTAACTTTCTATAAAATCTCTGCATAGGCATTTGGCAAAAATAATTTATATGAATTTTAAAAGAATTTCTGTGTTCTGCATAGTTCCATGAGAGTAACAGTAAGTTTTTAAAGCAATTCTCACTAAGTACTGGTGCTTATGTCTGTATCTTCTGTAACGCCTTGAGCTTGCTTTTACCAAGTGTGGCAGAAGATCCTAAGGTGTCTCCCAAGCTCAGTGAAGAAACTCAGCCGCCCTCAGTGGTGCCCAATGTTTGTCATGTATCTGCAGTTTAACTTAACATCATCATGCTGAGTTGAACTGTGTTCCTTTCTTCCCGAAGAATACGGATTGTGTTCAGTTACATTACAAAACAAGATCTATTTTGTGGGTGGACAGACCACGATCACGGACTGCTATGACCCAGAGCAAAATGAGTGGAAGCAGATGGCTCACATGATGGAGAGAAGGATGGAGTGCGGTGCGGTGGTTATGAACGGATACATCTACGTGACGGGAGGATATTCCTATTCAAAAGGAACGTATCTGCAGAGTATTGAGAAATACAACCCTGAGCTGAATAAGTGGGAAGCAGTAGGTAATCTTCCCAGCGCTATGCGGTCACATGGCTGTGTCTGTGTGTATAACGTGTAAACATTTAATTTTCATATTGCTGCCACAGAAAACAGCAGATGCAGATTCATAATAGTACCGATTACCTCATGAATGAGATGCCTAAAACAATCTCTTAGCACATCATTAAAAACTAGGTATAATTTGTCTTTATTTTAAACAATTCAGAAATATAAACGTGGTAACAAGATTTCCATATATTTTTTCAGTCCAATCATTCTTTGTCATGAACATTTTCAAATGACTTTCTTACAATACTTTGTGCAGCTATAGAGGAACTACTGTGAAAACCAGATTTGTTTTCATTGATCACTGGGTGGAACTATAACCTGGTGCTAAGGTGAGTAAAGCCAAACAAAATATTCTGCATTTCTGTGGACTACTGGACTTAAGATTAAATCTTTGATACTCCAGAGGTAGCTATAGAAGTGGTTCATTGCCGCAAGCTAAGCATGTGGTACATATAGAGCAATATCCTGGGTTATCACATCCAGGAATCATGGGCACTTGTAGGATGCCTCTAATTCTACCTTCAAATGTCAGAGCAGAGAAGAGCACAGGCTGGGAATGAGGGAAGAAATATCGTGCAGTAGCCCCAGAGCACAAGCCAGAAGTGTGCACTTGTTTTCCAGAAGGAGAACAAGCAGTATTTAAATAGCTGGTGCTTTGGCCCTGCCATCCCCCGCCTTCTCACCAGTCCTTGATCTGCATCCTGCCATGTAGGTAGTAATACAAATGCATTTGACTGAATCGTTATTACAGTGACTTCTTAGGAGTTGTTTTCACCTCATAGCTTGTACAGATACTGTAAGATGGGGCTTGTTACTAGCCTGGTTCCCTGGGGAAGCAAGGTGCTACTGTTGTCTTTCTGTGCTTGTGTCAGCTCCCCTGTAACACTGGACTCACTTGTCTGGGTTCAGTTGTGTTCTGCAGGGAGCTATAGGCCTTAAAAATACACTTTTTTTTGTTAAGGTTTTGTGAAAATTAGGAACACGATAGAGGGGGGAGAGAGGGACTGAAAGGAAGCACATGAGTTGTATGGAAAGTACAAGATGGCAAAGCCTTCCCAGTGCCAAGGTGTCTGTGAGGTGCGTTCCCGCCTTTGCTGCCCCTCGCCCAGTCGTGCTTCAGCTGCTGTGGGGCTGCATGGGCTGATAGTGGTGATCCAAATAAAGAAACACCTTAGGGAGCAGGGAGGCTCTTTTAGCCCAGATCAGTTCCCCAGTCTGGCTTATAAAATGACAGCAGAAACAGTTAGACGTTGGCATGAGAGGGAGGGACGACACAGGGCTGCCATAGGCTGTGGTGGGAACTTCCTACACCAGCATTGCCACCAAAAATGAAATTTTGGTTTTATGGGATTTATCAGACGTGATGGAAGCAGCTTTCCAAGCAGGTAGGCTCTGACTTTATAATATTTTTTTCCTGATCATAAGCATTTTCAAATATTTCTGTTCTTTCCTGTTTTTGTACTATTTCTCACTTGCATTTGCTGGTAGGCAGCACTCACCTCTGGGCTTTGATGTGAAGCTCTGTGGCGTATATATAGTTCTTGTTTTGATGTCTCTGTCTGTCACCTTACTATGCCAGAAGCTCATGTGTGCGTGGGTTCAGCGTTTTGCTTCATTATCCATCCCACTGAGAGCTATTTAAGGATCCAGTGTAACTTGTTTAAAGATTATAAACTGTAAAGAGGTGTGGGGAATTGAGCTCTGACGGTGTTTGAAATGTGTGGACCGGGCAGGTGAACAAAAGAAATAAAGTGAATTTGTTTCTCCTGGAAGTCTCCACAGCTGAGAATTATTCAAAGGCAGGTGGAGATTTGAAGGACATCATCGCAAGAACGTGAAGGTCATCTTTGTATTGAATGAAACCGCAGTGAACTCAATGTGCAGATGTAATTTTCCAGTGCGAAATAGGTACCTGTGAGGCCTCATGTTTGTCAACAACCATGAGCATAGAACAGCTGTTTGTGGCTGGCCCTAAGGGTTATTGCAGCTGTTAGTGAAAGGGTGTAAGAACAAGGCAAGGACTAACAAAACCTTCCAGCATCCACCTGTCTGCTGCTTCTAAGTTAGGCGCTTAACATTGGTGAAAGACAGCGCTGTTCTGGGGCTGGAGCGTGGAGTCCGCTTTCTCCCTTCGGGCACCCTGCAGGCCAGCTGTATGTTGCCTCTGCGCCTCAGCATAGCTGTGAAGTGGGAGAAAAAGCCTTTAGTTCTGACATGCTAGGAGAGTATGGTGCTGGTCTGGCATAAACCAAAGTCATTGAGACTTCTGCCGAGGGCTTCAGATAAGTCCTGGTTTTTAAAATATTTTTGAATGCGTTAGAATAAATGGCGTGTAAAAGTTCAGACTCGCTGTTAAAATTTAACTGGTGCTAATTTCTATGATAACCTACAATGCCCTCTTAAATCAGGCCGTGTCCGTAGCATGTCCCAAGACGGTGTGTAGCAATCGGGTCTCGAGCACAGGTGGGAATATGAATTCAGGGAGAGGAGTAGGGATTGCGGCTCTTGCTGCGTCCTATGGAAGGTGGAGAGCGCAGAGCAGGGGCTCTTTTCGCTGTCCGTCTGATGTTTTTTAATAGTTGAACGTGAACCCTAAATTTTTGTGCTATTGGATCTGTATTATGGCAGATGCTGTTTTACTGTTTCTCTTGTGAACTAGAACATTAACTGAATCAGAAGTTGAATCAGTTGTTGTCAGTACTATTTTTACTCGTGTGATCCCCGTGTCTGCAGTGCTAATGATGTCTACAACACATCTATAGTACTTAAGTGAATGTAATATTTAATAAATGTAAATATAGCATCAGTATACAAATACAAGTTTTTTAAGTTACTTTTTCTGTTAACTGTGCAAAAGCGTGAACAAAACCCCTGCACCCCGGACAA